TTTTTTTTTTTTTGTATGAACTGATGAATAAAACTTATTAATTTATTGGTACTGTGTGCAAGCATTAACAAATGAAAGCAGATCATTTCTTTATATCACAGGTCATTCACTGGCTGGAGGGATAATGGAAATGTATTTTCCATATATACTTTATTGTTATCAAATTAAACAGATTACATGATTAGACATAGGCCTATCATCAAAAATAGTTTGGAAATATTACGATGTTGAAATTGCTGCGTCTTTAGGACATTTACAATTTACAGTTCAGATTTTGTGCCTGATGTGTGTGTGTGTGTGTATGTGTGTGTGTGAGAGAGAGAGAGTGTGTGTGTGTGTGTGTGTGTGTGAGAGAGAGAGAGAGAGAGAGAGAGTGTGTGTGTGTGTGTGTGTGTGTGTGTGTGTGTCACTTGAGAGTTACTGTTTTGGATGAAAGACAGGGAAACCAATAAATAAACGTCTCTTACATGTCAATCTTTAACTGGAGACATTTTCTAACTATATGTGTCAAACATTTAAAGCTCATACAAACAGCCAGTTGTCTCCCTCTGATTAAATGTATCACACTGATGTCACACTTTACAGATCTTCTTTATGCACCAAGAGCTTGTAACACTCCAAAGAGAAAGGAAAAAATGAAATTGCATCATATGACCCCTTTAATCAATGTTGATTATAAACCCTAAAATTCAAACAGCATCACAGTCAAATCAGACAGGAAGGCAGCGAACATGACACAATCAAATTAAGGTTACAATTTAGATGATCTGCCAAATATTTTTAAACAAGTAGTTTAAACAGTGGCTATTAATTGATATGACCAAATTAAGGAGAAATGTTTGTTTTATCTTGTTTCATCCTGATTCTAATTACAGAGATCATCGTGTCATTTCTCTATTTAAAGCACACGTCAACCCACGTCAGCACCCACAGCGACTGTCAGAGGCCTGAGAGCGGAAGACTGTCTGTGAATGTACTTTGACTTGTTTTCCACCGCTGCTCTGTGGGTTTAACAATTCGGACTCTAATCAAGTGCCAAAATAAGATTTATGTCATGGTTTGGACAGTCAGAATACTTTCCTGTCCCAAACCCATCTTCCTTTTGGAATTCCTGAAGATGTTGTGATACAATATAGTCACGCAATAGCAATGCTTTCCCACATACTTTGCTATTCTAATTGCGCTTATATCCGTTGTTGGTATTAGTAGCAGTGGGTGGTAATTTATTTAAGTTTTATACCATCATCCTGATAGACATAGTCATTCGGCAATCCTACAACCTGAACCATAGTGAAACCATCCTTACATTTCCATGGGACTGACAAACCCATTGATATAAAATGGAATAATATCACATATATGTTTCATGGAATACAGAAAGATCTCCATTGTAAAGACCCCCTCTAATAGTATCACACTTAGATAAAGGCCCTCATGCACACACACACACAGAGATGGCATGAGATGACAACAGCAGATGATAAATCACTCACACTGACCCCCAGTCACTTACGCATCTCATTTTGCACTGATGAATTCTGATTAAAGTGGCCGTGGACCAGACATCATTCAATTACCCATAAACAGATGGTTGCAAAATCTTTTAGAAATTGCAGTAACATTTGTGGCTTCATACTTCCCTTTTCTCACATTCTGAGACAGTCAACAACATTTAGTCAAAACTACCTTATTTGACCAGTCTGACGATAGGTTTAAAAAAGCTTTGCATCCCTCCCTAACAAATCATAGGTATATAGTCCATGTATGAACATGTCTGATGAGAGTTTTATATGTTCTTATAATTTATACAGAAACAATTAATCATTGATGAGCTTACTGAACATATACAAAACTCAATATACTAACAAAATATAGACTGAAACTATAGTCAGGGGTATTACGTATAAAAAGTCATAGCAATAATCATGCTTTTGGCAAATTATACTTTGTGTGTGTGTGTGTGTGTGTGTGTAAAGAATCTTCCATACTTTCAAAAATTATTACAAAAGACAGGATGACACATTTTACGGGGGAGTCATTTTCTTCCTTATTTGTTTGTAGGAAGTTTTGAGTATAAAACAGCCTGTGTGTTTGACTGTGTCATTAATAGATCAGTATGGAGCTCAGTCTACTTCCTCTAATGCTCTGTGAGTATAATTTTCTCATTTATGCATTCATTTCTTATTTTGTGTAATGATGTAGTGAATCAGTGTTCATCTGTATTTCATCGTCTTATGTATTTAATATGTTCATTCATGCTGTTATTAATCTTAGTATCAAATCCAGTTCATGATATCTGTGTATGAAAGCTAATTATACTCACATGTGCTGCATGTAGCTGAGTGAGATCTGTATTTATTATTTATCATGTTCTGAAATTTTTGGAAGTTTGTTTTCTTCAGTAGATCTTCATCAGCAGTTAGTGCATCTATTTATAGTCTTTACTTGTGATGTGATGTGGTGACGTTACTGACCACTTATGAAGTACTGATGGCATGCAAAATAAGATCTGCAGTTTAGTGTCTCTGTTGTTTCAGTGGTATGAGGACAGCATCACATTGATATTCTTAGCAATGCACATAGATGTTGTCTTCAATCTTCCTCTTTCACCCTCTGTCATTCTGGTCATTATTGACTCCCTCCATTTTTGATAGGTCTGAAAGTATAGAGATAGATTGATCTGATTTGATAGAATAGAGATGATAGAAAGAGTTGAGCCGAGCAATTCTGCTCATTAACAATATACAATTGGTCTAAAATCTGTTGTAAAAAAATACCATTGACACTGTTTGTAGTTTGCTATTTTGAATTAGTCTTCTATAAAAGAGCTAATTTCTCTCTCAAACTTTTAATCAGTGTAAACTATTCAAATGGCAATTTAAACTATGCTTTTCTTGTGGAATTCCTTTCAAAAGCTTTTAAAGATATTCATGTAGTTCTATTTAGAAGCAACTAAATCTAATAATTAATCAATAATGGTCTCTTTTCACTTTTCAGTGCTGATTTCAAACATCCGCCCTGCACACACTCAAGGTGATTTATATATTTCTTCAAATATTCACCCATATAATGCATATACATTATGATACTAAATATAATGCATATACATTATGATCTTAAAAATAATAACATGTTAAGAGGGGATTTTATTTACAGAGAAAAAAATGTGGTTATAAAGAAAGTGAGTTTATTGTTCTCATCATGCAGGGCAAGAGGCTTCAGAGGAATACAGCAGTAAGTGCTTTCATTGTATTGCACCATTCCTGGACAAAGACAAGAAATAAACACTGATACACGTGTAGATGTGTAGATTATTGTGGCTTCTTTGGATGTTTTAGCATAACTTCTGTTTTTTCGGTTCTTATAGAGGCACCTAAACCTCGTCTGACTGTTCAGCCTGAACCATCACAGATATTCAGAGGAGATACTGTCACTCTCACATGTGACATACAGGGGGAAGATTGGACATACACATGGCAGTGTGGAGATGAAGAGCACAACTCTGAGGAGAAAGAGTTCAAGATCACTGCACAGCTCAAACAGTCATGCAAGTGTAAAGGCTGCAAAGAATCATTCTGCTCTGAATGGAGTGATGCTGTGACTCTGAGTGTTTCGGGTGAGTGATCATCACTGATACACATCAGGATCTTGCTTAAATGCATAAACAATGAATTGACTCCAACTGAGAAAAAAACTACTAGTAAACATTTCTAGATGCTGTATGTTAGACAGACTGAATGTTAATTGTGTCTGCTTAATCTCAATACATGACATTAACTAACCACATAACGTGTATCATATTATTCATGTTACTGCCATATGGAAATTTGGCTGATAATAAAATACTTCCTGAAAGTTGAGCACCCAAGTGAGCTCAGCACCCAATCTGAGGAGTCTTCACGTGTCGTCTTTATGAGACCTCTCATGTTAGAAGAGCATAAAACAGCCATACAATTATATTACTCATAATGACAAAGAAAATAAGCTGACGTGTGAGGCAAAATTAAGAAACATTTAATATAAATAACAGAAATCATAAGTAGCGATAGATGATGACTCAGGATTGTATCATGAAATATTTACAGACAAGCCCAAAGTAACTGTAAAGCCCCAGAGTTCAGTGTTCACTGGAGACACAGTTACTCTCATCTGTGATGTGGGACGATCAACTGGACAAATTTACTGGTTCAAAAACTTTCAGAGAATAAAAGCTGGTTCTGAAACAGAAACACTGAGAAAAGTGAATGTCTCTGATGGAGGAAGATATGCGTGTACTGTAGAAAAAAAGACCACACAAAGCCAAGGAGGCGTGCTAACAGTAGGAGGTCAGTGCTATTTTTACAGGACTTTTGAGTTTACTATAAAATTATGAAAATAAACAGCATTCATCAACAGTATCATGTGCTGTCGGTTAAATTAAACTTCAGTTTATTTTGCACAGAGAGACCCAAGCCTGTAGTGCGTGTTAAGCCTGATGGACGTGTGTTCAGAGGAGGACAGACGGTCACTCTCACATGTGACATACAGGAGACAGACGTCACCAGCTGGAGCTACAGCTGGAATAAAGATGATTCAGAGATTCATGTCAGTCAGTCTCAGGAATACCGGATCAGTTCTGTTAGTGAATCTCACACAAGTAATTACAGCTGTACTGGAAGAGAAACAGGAGGATCACGATACTCACACACCAGTGATAAAGTTACGCTGACCATATCAGGTGAGTGTGTTTATATCTGTTCACATCACTCTGACTACATGAGCAAAAATGTCTATAAATAACAAATAAGAAACCTTAACCAACATGTTTAAGAGAGAGAGAGAGAGAGAGAGAGAGAGAGAGAGAAAACTTTAAATGCAACCGAGAATTGATCAGGTGAATTAATGTTTAATGTAATGTGCATTGATTCATGCTCCGCTACTTATTTACTGCATATAATATGTAGTAAATGTGCAGATAAATAACATAAGCAAAAGCTATTTTAAAGTGCCCCTATAATGAATTTTTGAAAATTACCTTTCATGCAGTGTGTAACACAGCTCTAAGTGAATGAAAACATCCTGCAAAGTTTTAAATCTAAAAGTGCACCGTGTATAAAGTTATTGTCTTTCAAAAGAAAGAGTCGTAACCTCGGTTCCAGACAGTTTATGTGCCACAACTTCTCCGTTTCTGACCACATCTCGAAGATTGGTCTGCCGTCGCATACGGCTCCCCAGCCCGTGCTCGATGCATCTGTTGTAACAGTCTTTCTCCTGATCACTTGGCCAATAAGAACACCCCGGCGATACAGAATCATATCGCGCCAAGGGGTCAGCGCATCCTAGGAGTCGCGCATTACTTTGATGCGCAAGGTGCCCGTGCGCCATGCGCTCTGTGGCACCCGGCCCTTTAGCCAGAGCTGAAGCATATGTAGGAGCCCTAGTTTGCCGCATATGTAGGAGCCCTAGGTTGCACACTGTCGAGGCGGCAGCCATCTGGCCGAGCGTCCTCTGAAAGTATTTCAGTGGGGGAGAGTGCCCTAACTTGAAGACTG